CACTCTTTCTTTATCTTATTTTTTGAATATTTATTTTGATTATTTTATAACTTATCACATTAGTAAACAATTATTGTATTTGGACAAACTGTTAAGATTTTCCCGACTTTCAATGGAGATTTTGGTTTTTGGTTTTTTAGTTACGAGGATTAATATATTATGGTGCTACAATTGTTACGTACTATATAACGTCTTTGACATTTCAACTACCTTATATATTACATTACATATATATTGTCGTGGCATTGTTATATCTGTTAACACTCACAACAACTTATCAATCGCGTATTTGGGTTGTGTAGTATGTAGTTTTTTGACAGCATTGTCGTTTGATAACCGAAAAGAACCAAACTGACCAATTTGAAAATTGTATTGATTCCATTCCAAACCAAACTTAACCGTTCAGAACCGAACCAACCGATTTGAAAATTGGCTTAATGGGCTGGCTCTTCGTGTCGTGGGAATGTGGGAGACCCTAATGGGCCTCACATTCAATAACCGAAGCCCATTTGCCTATGGGGCAGAAACCCTAGGGCTTATATAAATTCCCCAAATGCTGGTATGAGTTTTGACGGAAATTCTCCGAGGAAATCCGATCAGTTCCCATAAAGGCCGGGTTTGTCCAAAATCCGAGACCCTCGAGTTATCGCTCTTTTTTTAGCTTCAATGTTCATACGAATTCGTGTCATTATCTTAGTGGCTGCCCGATGACGATTGATCTTTGCTTTTAACCACACCGAAAACATGGGGATGAGGATGGGCTATTGAGCTTCATGATCCAAATGGCTGCATTTCTTGAGCTCGTCAGATACGTTGATGACGCTTTGATCTGAAATGCTCGAGGGTCTTTTCCTTCGTGTTTTAGATCATAAGTTGAGAGGTTCGTCGAGCTCTCCTAATGCAGTTGGGTTTGAATCTTGAAGAACTTACCTGCTCTTAGCCTCTCTAATGTGGAAAAAGCTTTGGCCTTTGAACTGAGTGCAGCTTTTTCTTTTGAGAAAATGACTTGAATTGCGATGCTGGTTATTGGTTTCTTGTCATTTGATCGGTTATAGGAAAGAACAAATCTGAAAGTCGTTGTCTTTCCTTCTTTTTGGCATTACAGTACTACAAAATCTCTTTATTTTTTTCCTTGGGATTTCTCATTTTGTCTGAATAGTTTAGTGGGTCTGTTCGATTCGTGTATGGTTGTACTTCTGTGGTGTTTTTTTCATTGCTCTGTGATGATGATGGTGATGGTTTCTGGTTTAACCACGCTCTGGAAAAAGAGGGGCTCTGATAGGGAATTGGCACTTGCTCAAGAAAAACCATGCTTTGACAGTGTCTTATGATTCTTCAATCTAAACCACCCATGTCTCTGGGGGTTCCTCTTCAGTTCCCAAGGCGAGAACTTTGCCAAGCTCCTTGTTTTTGTTTTGCTGGAATCTTGATGAACCAGTCTTTGCCTCAGAATGCCCCATCATGCGGAAAACTCTGGCCTTTATGGTTTGCTGATCAATTTTGTTCTGTTTTGTTGTACTCTTCAGGAGTCATGGACTGGGATATATGTATGTGTATGTATATATTTGGACATGAGAAAGCAAGAACTGCGTTTAAGATCAAAACCTAGGTTATACTCGGAAAACAAGATGAGAAATCAAACTCGACCGACCACCTAAATGTAAATCTTGGTTTCTAGTGCGAGTTCTTGAAGCCGATTCCGGACTATACCTGGTCTGCTACGGCCGTCCAAGGAAATTTGATACGGGAAAAAAATCTTAAAAAAACAAGTAATATGATCACCAACATGGAGATAAAACCAGCATGATTTGGGTTGCAGCTAGGCAGTACACCGTACTGCTGTTACTGTAGTTAGGGTTAAGCTGTATAAAATAAAACAAGAATGTGAAAAGTGCAAAGAAAGTAAAAATAGAGGGCCGTTTTGAAAATATTTTCTAATGGGGGGAATTAATATCGACGGTATGCGTCACGCCACGTGTACGTCGCGAGAGACGTCCATATACCAAGTTGCGATGTATCCGTGACTCAACAAAACGGGGCATTATCAAAAATACCCTTAAAATGTTACTTTTACTTCAAGACCTACTGGTCACATGTGATCAATATGACCGAAATATAGTATGGTCACATTTTGATTTTTATCGATTATAACGTTAAATTTATGATGATCACACTAATTCATTATGTTCATACCTTGTATATCTTATTAATCATTTGATTAAAACATCATAAATTTAACGTTATGAACAATGAGATCAATATGTGATCACACTATATTTTGGTCATATTGGTCACATGGTCACAAGGGTAGGTGTTGAAGTAGAAGTATCATTTTAAGCGTATTTTTGATATAATGCCCAACAAAACCACATCTAAATCAGGTTCAGCTGCTCTTTCAGTGTTAATTCCAGACTCAAGAGCAAGAGCCGAACTCTGTCTCTTTTCTTCGTCATCGTCTCCGCTTGATCTTTCTGGGTTTTGGGTTTCTCTTCAATCGTAGAGATGGAAAATCTGACAATAGTATCTTATTCTTCTTCTTCTCCTCCGGAGCTGTTAATGGGTTGCAATTTCTGCACTTCTTCACTCAAAAGCCCTACCGGAGTTTTCAAGGGTCCCGGGAATTCGCTTCGGAGTTCTAGAATTATCCTAAGTTCCAGAATCTCAGCCTCCGCTCGATCTACGACTCGCCTGTCTCGGCCGGCGATATGGAGAGATTCCGGCGATATCGGGAGATTCCCTTCAACCGGAAAAGCTAAAAGTTCGTCAATTGCTGACTTTTGAGTCCCAAATCTGTGAATATTTTCAAAATCTTTCATCTTTCTCGCTTTAATTCTGCAAATCTTTTTCTTGTTTTCTCTTTGCATTTCTCCTGTAATCGCTGTGTATGGGTTCTTTGAAGCAGTTCTTGTGAAACACGGAGGAAAGTCTTTCGCGAGTGTTTCGTCTTCGAGTGGTGAACAGACAACATCCGTAGGTTACCCTAATGTAGCAGTGCCACCATCCTCATCAAGCATGTAATCTAAAAAGCGTGTCTGGATAACTTGCAAATAAAATTACATTCCTTTAGGCCCATCTGTTTAATCTATTTATGGTTTTTTTTCTAATCATGCTTTAATAATCTTCTTCTGTAGAGGATCACCACTATTTTGGATCGGCATTGGGGTCGGGTTATCAGCTTTGTTCTCGTGGGTAAGTTTGAAGATAACTTACGTTGTAGTACTGTATGAATTTATCCTTTTTGTTTGTTCTTTCTGATGTCTCACTTTAATGGCTAAGACTAAATACAAGACTTTGCTCCTTAATTGAATGGCAGGTAACATCGAGTTTAAAGGTGAGTGTTCAGTGTTTCTCTTCAATGAGGTAACCATTCCTATGCCCATGCTTTTGCAAAACTTTTGTTCTCTCTAACAGTGAAACTTTCTAAAGGGCTCATGACTTGGAGGGTTCTTGTCCTAGCCCCTTGAACTACTGTTGCTGTCTGTTTAAGCAGCATTTTTGTTTTTTTTTGCTTGATGTTGTCTGTTCGATGAGTCTAGGGAGTAGGGAGTGTAGACGTAAACTCACTTGGCTATGACTTGTTGCTGTTACAAATCTTGGTAGATTTACAATCGAAATGAGTACTTTAACAATAAAAATCGAAATAAGTGGAAACAAAAAATTCATGCGGCCGACTCCAAATAAACTTGGGATTAAGATGATGTTGATGTTGATGTTGTTGATGCCTGTTCGAATTATTGTAGGTATCACTAGGATTCATGTATCTGAAATTTCATTCCCGAGAATTGTCATGTTTCTATAAAAGAATCGGGATCATGTTTTTTAACCGAAAGTTTGAGATGGAAATGTTTGGAAATGCAAAGCTGGAAAAATAGAAGCAAGGTTGTGGAGTGGACTGTGATTCCCTTCACATGACTTCGTTTTTTTTTCTGGGGGAATGTAATTCACGTATGGAATAATTGGTCTTAATCTGCAGAGACTGTTACCATTGTCACATGAGAATAAATGAGAACTGCATTTTGATATGAAAACTTGGTCTTAGGTAAAAGCTAGGTTATGGGTGTTATAAATCACCGATATTGCATGCATACTATAGACATGTGAAGGGAATAAAATCATAAACCTTGCAGGTAAGAGTAAAAAATGTGAGGTTTTGCAGATCATTACTCGTTTTGTTTTCCTTTTTTTCTTTTTCTTTTATTAAATCCTGGGGTAGGCATTATGTTCCTTCATAAAAAAAGAGAAGCAGGGAGCAGTAAGTATGGTTTTGGGAGATGGAGGCCAAGTGTAGTCTAATCGTCCTGAAATTTCCTTTATTCATAAAAAAATCTGAATTGAACTCTTGCTCTTATCAGTTCTCGGATAAGTGATGGGTTAACTTTTTCTGTCACCCGTGTATCCAATAGTATATTCCTTTCTCGGAAGCTTGAATCTACTTCTTCCTTTTTAACATTCTCTGGTAGCTTTATTAGTCAATGATGCAGCCTCTGTTTTGTATTTATAAACAGTTTTGAATTATACTTATTTTTGCCTGCTGGTTCTCGTCATTGTCTAACCGGCTGTCCAATTGCTTCATGTCAATATTTCCCTTTGGTTTCAGCAACGTGCTATGGAAACGGCTATGAAGACTATGATGAGCCAGATGAATAAGCAAAGTAATCAGTTTAACAGTCCTCCATTTCCAACAGGATCACCTTTTCCATTTCCAATACCTACACCAACAAGTCCGGTTCCTTCACCTATTCCGACTTCCCAATTCGCTTCCCAGTCCTCAGCTGCTACTCTCGATGTCACAGCCACCAAAGTAGATAAACCTCCTTCGGCAAAACCAGAAACATCTATACCCTGCGATACTAAAGAGGAAACCAAACCAAAGAAGGAAGAAAGGGACTATGGTACATGATTTCCTGTTTCAAGATTCTACCTGTCTCTTATCTTATCCATTTAGCCATGGCTTTCGGCTTTCTCACTTTTCTAGGCTTCTAATTTAAATTGCAGCATTTGTTGATGTGTCTCCTGAAGAAACCACGAAAGAAACTCCTTTTAGTAACTATGCTGAAGTCACTGAAGCCAGTGCTTCCAAAAATACTCAAATGTTCGAGGACGTAAGTTTTATTATTTTGATATTGTCACAGCTTACAAGCTAGTGGTTTTTACATCTCGGCCCGAGTCAACATTATTTTCCCCCTAAATCAGGAAGCTAGTTGTTCTTTCATTTTGATTACTGTCTGTAGGTTTTGAAAAATGGTGCTGCTTCACAGCCTGCTGCCAGTGGTCCAAGTGGTTTCCAGTTTCCAGGCGAGTTAGCAAATTCCCCATCTTTCTCGTTCCTGGAATTAACAATGGGCGTGTATAGATATATCTTTCTTGATGCCTTTTGTTCCATGACATTTACGATTTTGGTGTATTGGTGTATAAGTTTACCTGTCCACTGCATATATTTCATAATTGTGTTTTTTTCTGCTTGCATGATAGTCACTCTTTCTTTGTTGTCTTATCATTCATATTTATACCTTAGTTAGGTTTTTGCTTGTTCAGGCACAGGAAAAGGAGGGCCTGGTTTGTCTGTCGAAGCTTTGGAGAAAATGATGGAAGATCCTACAGTTCAGAAGATGGTTTACCCGTAACATATCTTCTTTTGTCCTTCTACTTTTCTGTCCCTTTCAAGTGAATATATAGAGAATTCTATCTTTTATCCCTGATTTGGCTAAATCTTTCCCGAAACCTTTCTTAATGCAAAGTTAAAGTGTGTTAATTAATGTTACATATCTGAATGCAGATATTTGCCTGAGGAGATGAGAAACCCGGAAACTTTCAAATGTAAGTCTTTTCATGTTTCTTTTCTGTCGGATTTGGCTGTGTGATTGTAGATACTTGCGGGAAGTCATGCAAACGGAAGCTTCTGAAGTTTGTCGTAAATGTCTTGATACGGCAGGCTTGGACTAGTCATTTAAGTGAATTCAGGAATAGGGTCATTAATTATTTATCCAAGCTGAACTAAGTTTCCTAGTTGGTTGGCTAAGTTAATTGAACACTGTAGCTGAGTTCATTGATTCTGTATCGGCTTGGAAGTGAGGAAAAAGCTTGCAAATGTTGCTATATTGATTTGGCCTAACTTACTAGAGATTGCTGAACCACTGGTTCCTACCTCATTTAGTTATAAAGGCGAGATTTTTTGTTTGTTTGTGAAGTTAGGCCTTGAAAGAACAATATGCTTGGAATTGAATTCTCATTTCAGTGTACAAATTGGTATGCATTGTAGTCACATGGTATGCTTGGATCTTTTGCAGGGATGATACAAAATCCACAATACCGTCAACAGCTGCAGGACATGCTGTATGCTCCTCCGCTCACCTTTTTATGATTTTCTTGTACTAGGGCCTATTATTTCCTGTGTCATGGTCCATGGAGTTATATCTCACAGTTCAGTTTAGTTTCCGGGCATGCATTTTATAGCAAACTCTTGCTTATGCTTATTGTTGGTGTCCATGAATGATAATGGAACTTTCAAGAATTTTTAGGGACCTGTTTTGAAATCGCCACTTTGAGATTCTTTGCTGTGCAAGAAGCCCGTTTTGTCGGGTTGTTAACATTTTCTTATTGTCTCTCATTTTCTTGATCTAGGAACAATATGAGTGGGAGCGGTGAATGGGACAAGAAAATGACGGATACTTTGAAGAATTTTGACCTGAATAGTCCCGAAGTGAAACAGCAATTTGGTAAGAGTCCCTTTAATCTCAATTAAAGCTGAAACCTGTTTACATTCATGGCTGACGACTGATATCAGAAGCTCACAGTGCTTGCTATATATATATATATATATGCATATGATGCTTAGGCTAAGTCAACATGGGTCAAAATCTCCATTTCCCGTCTTGTGCAGATCAAATAGGGATGACACCCGAAGAAGTCATTTCAAAGATAATGGCGAATCCTGATGTTGCTGTGGCTTTCCAGAATCCCAGAGTCCAAGCAGCATTGATGGAAGTATGTTCTATATATATATATCCTTAATATTCGGGTTTTTTCTTTCCAAGTTAATGCTGATTCTATTGTGCGAATTCTGATGGGGTCTTTGGTTTTTGGCAGTGCTCAGAGAATCCCATGAATATCATGAAGTACCAAAACGATAAAGAGGTAAAAGATTTCTCACTTCTTCAAGTTTGAGTTTTGAGTACTCTCTCATTTTGCATAGTACAAAACTGGTTTAACTCATTGGAATAAGACAAGACCGTGAATGATGATGATGATTTCTGATGTTTTGTCTCAGGTAATGGATGTGTTCAACAAAATATCTCAACTCTTCCCTGGAATGACGGGTTGATTTCAGTTTTTTGGATTTTTGTTTTATGTTTTTGTTCTTGTTCATTCAACATACAATGTCACTGGATGCTTCAGTTTTGGTCAGAACAAGAAGGGAGAGGCACAGACACATATCACAGTGTGTATCTATCTATTTACTTTATATAGAAGATTGGCAGTGGCAGTGAACACGAGAATTTACGATAAAACAATCAAGGCCAGTGGTCGTGTTGCTTATGGATATGGAAAACCGGTTTCAATTTCCCAGGTGCCCAAGGAAACCGAACCGAACAGTTAACCGAACTGGAAAGCATGCGGTCCTCGGTCCACCCTCGTGTGAACCGTGACGAGTCACATTAAAAATGTGATGTGACGTGGCGAACTCGTAGCCGTTGGATAAACCGACAATTAAAAACGAGTCCACGGTAAGAAATTTACGCCGCCGCATACTTACCGCTCCCACTTCAAAGGTCGGGAAATTGCTTGTCTTGTTGGAGGAAACTTTCTTCGTACGAGGATCTGACTGTACTCCGCGCGGGAGAATTGGCGCGTGAAGTCTCACTCTCCGGCGATCGTTGTCTCCGGTGGGAGTGCGTATCTGAGTCGTGTTGCGAATCCACGGGTGAGCACTTCGTGAATCGTGGTTCGGTCTGTTACGCTTGAAATTTCGGGAAAACTATTGTGAGAAAACTCCTGGGTTACGGTTCATGTCACTTGTACCATGTTTCGTTGCGTTTTTGGACAGCGGAATGTGATCTTGAGGTGTTTTGAAAAGTGGAAATGCCAATGAGAATGATTAATTAGTTGATTTTTTCACCCAAAAAAAAAAATTTAGTTGATTTGGTTCGAAAGCATAGTTTGGAGATTAAAAATGTAGTTTTCTGTTTATCGATTATGGAAACCTGTTGAATTGGGGGATGAATACGTCTCTGGCAAATTACTGTGACTTTCGCCGGTTATTCTAATTTAGGGTTTTTGTCGCGTAGGATTTTCTTGAGAAGAAGACTAGGATGAAGTCTAGAAGCCAAGGCAGGAGCGGTAGACTTGCAGAGGCATCGGGAGAAGGGGTGAGCAAGGTCCTCAGACGAACAAGCGCACGTGGCTGTCGGGGCAAGAAGAGACAAGATGATAATGTCGAGCAATGTGATGTGGCCGTGGGTGTTTGCAACACACACTTAAATCTTGTCTTTCTTATGAGAAGATCGTTATGCTGATTTCACATAGTCTATTTGGGGTGCTGAGATTGGTTATATCTTTCCATTGCTGAGCAATATCCTTGTTTTTTGGCCCTTTCATTTGTGAAGGCTACTTGCGGCAACTGGTTATTGCGGTCTTTTCGAACTTTCTTATCATCTTTGTTAAATTAACTTCTCTTTCCCACTTTGCCTCGTTTTCCTTTGTTACAGAGTGACCAAAGGCAAAATGGGAAAGGAAAACAAGCTGCTGAGACACGATTAACTGATAACGCTTTAGAAGGCATGGGATGCAGTAGTAAAAGTGGAAACTCATTTGCGGGCGGTGATGATGATGAAATTAATGATTCAGACTGGGAGGAATGTTCAATTCCCAGTCTGGATCATACTGTCAATGCTTCCGTCGACGACATACGAGAGTTGAGGATAGAATTTGATGGTGTACCAGATGCTAAGAGCCAGAAGCATGTTTATCGTGCAACTGCTGAAGACAAGGTATGCGTTGCTTACGCAAACATCATGAAATGCAATGTAATAAGTTCTGCAAATGTCTTCAAAAACACATTCTGACTTCAGAGATTTATGACTTCTCTTAAAGGAACGTGCAGAGCTTGTCCATAAGGTTCATTTGCTCAGTCTACTTGCCAGAGGAAGGATAGTAGACAAAGCTTGCGATGATCCACTAATTCAGGTGAAGAAAAATTTCCATGAATATCACTAGCTGTATTAAGTGTCTTCTGAAACCTACAAGTAGATTCACAAAACTTAAAAATATGATGAACAGGCGTCCTTGCTTTCACTTCTACCATCATATTTGTCGAAAGTGTCAGTCTTCTCAAAAATCACTGTTAAGGATATCGCTCCTCTTCTCCGTTGGGTACAGATCTACCAGCTCTCTGTTATTGTTATTTGTATTTTTGACGAAAAGTTGATCAGTAACTTTTATTTCTGTGTCAAAATGTAGTTTCGCGGCGTCTTTTCTGTCAGAGACGAACTCCGTTCTGGGAAATCTTTCAGTTCTTCCCTGGCCTTTGCTTTTGAATCCCGTCAAGGCACAACTGAAGAGGTAAGGCTGTGACCGAGAAAATGACATTTTAAATTTTTTTCATCAGTATCATATCTGTTTTTATTACTTACTAGTTACTATGTAAAGTTTCCTTGTGTGGATTTGGTCTGAAGTGATTTTCATTTTTCTGCTCGAAGCCTCGAAGTTAATCTGTACTTTAGACAATATTTGGATGTGGTATTGATCAAAGTTACTAAGCAGGAAAGTTATCATATCATCTTTTTGCAGCTTGCAGCATTGACTGTTGCTTTATTTAGAGCATTGAAGCTCACAACTCGGTATGTACTCAAAATACCTATTACTTAGATACTTGATATTTTTATGATTTGCATGTTTTGTTTCTTGTGATAGTCTCTGTTTATGCTCTACAAGTATGTGTATCGACTAATCAGTTTATAAAGAAGGTTGCATACTGGGCTTTGCTCTAGCAGGTTTCATGAGTATCTGAATAGTGAATTTCTGTAGTGTCATTTAGCTTGCTTTTCTGGCTCTGGTGTAACGTTAGTGCTATATTTTTAAAATTTAATATGTGTTATGAAAGCCCCCTACATCTTTGATTCCCAGATTGTCATTAGGCTTTTCCTTCTACAACTGCATTCTGAAGTGTTGCACATTTATTATGGTTAATGTGTAGTATGGCAAGACTGTATTAAGTTCTTCAGTACTAACAGAACACGAGTCACAGGTTTGTATCTATTCTTGATGTTGCCTCCTTAAAACCAGGGGTCGATAAGGATGAATCTTCTGGTCAAAACAGAAATAAAATGAATCTTGGGATATTTGGTACTTCAACTCTTATGGTCTCAACATCCCCCGTCAAATCTGAAAACGAAAAGCTCCGGGAAAAATCTAAAAAAGATTCAGCAATGCGAAAGGATGACTGCTCAACGAGCAACAAGAATACCCAGCCAAGCTTCTCAATCGGCACTAACCCCCAGTGCGAACTTCCTCCAAGTTCGAATCAGTTTAAAGATAAAATGGATTCATCATCTGAAGCAGAAACATGCTGCAAACCTGATGGAACAAGGAGGAAAGGGGACCTTGAGTTCGAGATGCAATTAGCCATGGCTCTTGCTGCTACTGCAGCTGCTAATACACAAGATGCCCCCCGATCAGATGAGAAAAGCTTGAGTAGCAGTTCATCTAAAGCAACAAAAAAGATAGAAAATGCATCTGTGTCTGACCAAGTAATATCCACTGCAGTTGGTTCTAAAAAAGTGGGTTCTCCCCTCTATTGGGCTGAAGTATATTGCAATGGAGAGAACATGGATGGAAGATGGGTCCATTTCGATGCTGTAAATGGAATGATAGATGCTGAACAATCGATAGAAGCTGCTGCTGATGCTTGCAAAGCCTCTCTGAGATACGTTGTCGCCTTTGCTGGTGGTGGAGCCAAAGATGTAACCCGCAGGTTTTCTGCTTCTCTGCTTCTATTTCATGTTTTGCAATTGCTTTGTTGAACAAGCCATGTCTTTTCTTTTAGATATTTCATGTTTTGCAATTGCTTTGTTGAACAAGCCATGTCTTTTCTTTTAGATGGCTGTCTGCATATAGCTTCCTGATAGTGTTACGTGCTTTGAGTGGGATGTTTCAACAATGGGTTTAATTTTCTGTTTTTAGTTTGGGGAATCTTCTGAGATTTATTGATTCATAGATAAGACTGATCTGTTCTGCACTCTCTTTAGAAACCACATTGAAGGACAATTAAGAAGCTGGAAAAGAAACTTGTTGTACCGTGTTGTATTTCTCTAGTTTAGAATTGATTCGAAAATGGTCAAGGTTTCAGCAGAGAGCTAGTGTCGCTGATGCAATGTTAATTTTAAGCTGTGTGGAAATATGTAATTTTCTACCCACAATGCAAGCGTCCTCATGATACCCCAAGGGTGAATGTATATCTATTTTTTTTATTCATTGCCCTAATGTTACAGTTGTAATATAGTTTCACGATTTACTTTTATTTACATGCAACTCTGTTTCTTTTCTAGGTACTGTACAAAGTGGCACAAGATTGCATCAAAACGGGTTAGTCCACAATGGTGGGATTTGGTATTAGCTCCGTTACGGCAATTAGAGTCTGCTGCAACTGGAGGTTCGGTTAATATGGAGAAAGAACCACTAGATGCCAATGATCCAATTCCTGTTACTAACAAAGCTTCTACGAGTAGCTCTTCCATTGGCATAAGGAGTGCCCTTGAAGATATGGAGTTAGCTACCAGGGCATTAACTGAGCCTCTTCCCACAAATCAGCAGGTACTTGGTTTATCCCCAGCGGGCAAATATTACCTTTAAAGCCCTGAATTATTGACCTATTTTAAAGTCAAATATTGTTGGGTGGCATATTCAAATTCAATCCATTCTCCTCTGTTTTTGCAGGCTTATAAGAATCATGAACTCTATGCTATTGAGAAATGGCTTAGGAAGAACCAGATTCTTCATCCAAAGGGTCCGATTCTGGGATATTGCTCTGGCCATCCTGTCTTTCCTCGGACCTGTGTCCAAACTTTGAGGACAAAGGAGAGATGGCTACGTGAAGGACTACAAGTTAAGCCTGACGAAGTTCCTGAAAAGGTATTGTTCAGCTAATAGTTGCAGCATCAATATACACTTTTCCCTGATAACTGTCATCTTTTTTCTTCTTCTCTGGTCGGGTTGATACACAATTTTCGAAGCCCTTTTCCTCAGATTCTGAGACGTAATTCAAAACATAAGAAAGTAGTGAATTTTGAGGATGGTGAGAAGGATGGGGAAGGTGGTTCTCAGTGCATGGAACTGTATGGCAAGTGGCAACTGGAACCACTGCGTCTTCCTCACGCTGTTAATGGAATTGTGCCGAAGGTAAAAGCACCACGTCTCTCTGGCTTATTGGGTGCCATTTTCTGATGTTCCCTTTTTCTGTTAGATAACCTAAGAATAAACTTTGCATTTGTGGCTTCAAAATTCCTCCACACGACATGAATCAAATTTGAAAATCGAAGAACTATGTATATTCGAAATCTAGTTCCTTTTGTAAGCCTTAGTGTTTCCTTGCCATAATTTTCTTTCGGGTTTTTTTTTTCACGTTTTCCTTTGTTTGATTGTTACCTTGACTGGATAACTGTTGGAAGAACCCGTGCTTCTTCATATCCTAAATAAATCCTGCCTTTGATGAATCAAAATTCGCATAAAAGTGATGATGATGATGATAACCGTGAAAAGTGTGTGATTGATTATCAGAATGAACGTGGTCAAGTGGATGTGTGGTCGGAGAAGTGTCTGCCGCCGGGGACAGTGCACATAAGGCTTCCACGAATATTTTTGGTGGCTAAGCGACTCGGAGTCGACTATGCGCCTGCCATGGTTGGTTTTGACTACAAGAATGGACGTCCTACTCCCGTTTTCGACGGTATTGTTGTCTGTACCGAGTTCAAGGACGCAATCCTCCAGGTAACATTTTACGTTATAAAAAATACAAGCTTTGATTGGCGTTTATTTTCATCTCTCTGAAACCCTTTCTTGAAAATCTGCTGGGCTGTGATCACTCTTCGTAATTCGAGGGTTTCTATTGATGGGTTTTCATTAGGCATTTGGGGAAGAAGAGGAACGGAGAGAAGCCGAAGAGAAAAGGCGAAATGAAGCACGAGCAGCTACCAGATGGTATCAGCTTCTCTCGTCGATTTTAACCCGCGAAAAGCTGAAAACCCGTTACCTCGACAGTAACCAACCTGATGGTATTCAAGCGAGCAGCGCTGGACCGAAAGCAGAGACCGTCGTTGAATCCCCCGGAAGCAGCCGGAGAGGATCTAAGCGGCCACGGCCAGGCCTACGACGAGGCGAAACATCAAAAGGTGATGATTATAATGATAATTCACGTAGGGTTAAGGGATTGGTTGGTGAATCGGAAGGCCATGAACATGTGTTTCTTGTGGAGGAAGAAACCTTCGACGAGGGAAGCTTGTTGAAGACGAAACGTTGCAGGTGTGGCTTCGCCGTTCAAGTTGAACAGATGTAGTTTCTCCGCCGTTGTTCAGTGGCAATCTTGTAATTTAATGGAGTTTTTTCCGGCTCTGCGCCTTGTGCCAATTCTGTAAGTAAGCTGTCGCTGTCGGGTATAGATCCACCAAGGCCCGATAAAGGCCCATGATGAATTTTTTATGGGCTCGGAGTTCTACCATTGGTGCGGCCCAATGTGTATTTGACGATTGACAATTTAATGTCGGAAAGCATTTAGAATTATTTTTATTTCATATAAACCGTGCAACAAGAAAAATATGTGGAATATTATTACATTTTTTGGTTAGGCGTTTAAAAATATTGTCTGAAAAATTTTCTGGGCCCGTTACGAAGTTCTTCGATATGTCTCAAGATATATATATGTTTGCCTTAACATCTCATCCTTAATTATTCAACTTTACATTGAATTTTATGTCGAATTACGTATAGAGAACCTTACAGATATTCAGAATTAAGAAAATTTTCATATAAGATTAAACAAAATAATACTACAGGAAAGTCGGAATACATATACGGAGATCAACATGATAAACTGAAATAATAATAATAATTCAAGATTTTTTCATCGAATTATTATATTTTAATTCTCAAAAGTAGAATATTTAATTTGAAAAAATAACTATTTTTTTAACGGATTAATAAAATTTCATGGGCAACTATTCTTTTTATTTTCTTTCTTAAAAAAAAAACTGGATTGTTATTGGGTTATAAAAAAAACTTGATTTAGGCAAATATGTTAAAGAAAAAAAAACTCTGTGATTTTCAAGGAGAAAGGAACAGCGCATCCATAGAGACGCCACGCGCTGCATGAGCCTGAGAAGTTAAAAACTGATAAATTCGGCGGATTTCGGGTTTCGGCATATTACAATCCACCGATTTTGACGACACGCGCTCTACGCGCATATCATGCGCGTGGTTTTTATCCTAGCCACGTTAGATTTGTAAACGGTGAACGGGCCATACTTCGTTTGGTCATGACCCAATATTTATGGGCCTTCATTTTAAATGGACCGTATATTTTTCCGACTATAGTGGGTCAACTATTTTTTGAATAATTTTTTTTTTGTTAAAATTGAATAAAAATCTTTGATATTATGTATCTTTCAATTTCTTTCCCAACCAAAATCTTTACGATTTTATAGGCTTTTAATACTATATTTCTTTTTTACAAACTGTTAAAATAATTCCCAAATACCTTTTGATTTTGAGCTTTTATGTTTTTTTTATTATCTCAGAATATCCATACAAGCTACGGAATCACCGAAATGTACGGAAGGTCACACACGTCTTCTGTGAAAGATATTTTTGTCCGTACATCACATTGGCTTATAATACATAATCGATTTTATTAGAACAGCACTTCTCTATAGACATCTAAAACCACAAGTTTACAATAAAGACAGATGGAAAGCCCCCTACACTTACATGAAACAGAACCAGAATTTAAACACCACAATCAAACATCAAACGGCATCAGTAACACAGAACCAGAAAGTTATTGCTCAACAAACCACTCATAGAGTTTGACAAAGTCATCTCATTCAAGTCTAATTTCCAATACTCAATCCAGTCTGCAATGCAGGAGGAGGTTTCACCTTCGGAGGCCGACCCCTCGGCCTCCCTGTTCCGGTCACAGCCGCAGCCGTTGCACCACCGCTGATCCCTCCACCGGCTGGGC